ACTGCAGTATTAGAAACCAAGATTTGAAGTCTTACATCTGAGCAGCGCTTTCTGATTAGGAACAAAATCATCAATGAGAAACAATTGGCTAGAAATAACTTTTTATATGGACTTAAGCCTAATGCCTAGGAAGTGTAATCCCTTGAACTCCTAAAAAAATACACTGATGACTTTACTCTGGTTATACTTTCCTTTTGGGTGTTTAAGACTATACAGTTGGCCCAAATCAATCAGTTTATTTTTATACCTAAGGTTGTTTGAGGATCTGTTCCTCAGCGATTACATGGGCTTGGGAGGAGCCCCGGCTCCTTTCTTTAAACAGTTCCATCTATGTGAAGATAAGTCAAAGGTCCTCCTCGACCATGTCTGGCTTCATTTGGAGGCATGGATGGGATGTTTCCTCTGAGTTGACCCTCCTCTTTGTAGACTGGACACTGGTTCAAGTCCATCTCGTGGGGTCTCCATGGCCCCCCTGAACAAGAGGACAGGTTGGCTTACCACAGTTACAGGACATTTTGAGAGATGTTCCATAGTCAACTTTGGAGGGCAAGGAGCAAAAACTGTCCTTTAAGTCCCTTTGAGGATATTAGTATAGGCCTTCAAAGTATGGCTATTAAACATCCAACAAGGTTAATTCCACCGGTCTGGTACTTTTAATTACCATGTGTATGTAGATAAAGCTTGGGTAAAAAAACAAATATTCTCAGATAAACCTTGACTAGATATATATTTTGTTCCTTAAACTAGTTGACTAAACTGATGTTGGGATAAGTCAGAGTGCCTGGAATGTAGAACATGACTGCCAGGCTGGACACCTCCTAGTGAGGACAGCAGGAAACTGGCCCGCTCAATTCTAGATACACTGTCTTTTACCCAACAACCCCCAAGCAAAACTATTAGGTCTCTAATCCTTTAATCCTAAACGGGTCTCTTGTAGATCATGTGACTGGAGGACAGGACAAAGGCCACATAGCCTTAGAAGCCTCCTCCTTCCCCTTCCCCTACCAGAAAACTAACCCCACCTCTTTGCCCACAAAGCTCTCCTATATAAACCTCTGCTTCCACCATAATAAACGAGTGGTCCACTGATACAGCCTCCTGGGGTGTTTTCTTCCCGTTGTGCTCTCCGCAGCCCGAGGCCTCTCTTCCCTCATCGGTCTCTCTACTCTCCCCAACCTTCTGCGATGGGGACCGGTGTGCAACAGTCTCCTGGTACGGGCCAAGGGCAGGGGCGGGGCGACAAACTATGACATTAGACATTTTAAGATTATTTGTATATTATTTTTGTCTCATCCGTTATATATCATAACAAAACTACACAGACCTTTATCACTTGCTTAGCCTTTCCCATTTTTCCTATTTTGGAGAATATCTGCATTCCCATGTCCTTTTAACATCTTTTACATTCTCATTTTCTTTTTCTTTTTTTTCAAATAATTATGCTTTGTTCAGTGTTGATTTTGAGCTTTATTGCATTGTGGTCCAATAGAATGTATGAAATTATTTCAGTTTTTTTGTATTTGTTGAGGTGTATTTTGTGGCCCAGTATATGGTCAATTTTTGAAAAAGTTCCATGGGGTGCTGAGTAGAAAGTGTATTCTTTGGTGCTTGGGTGGAATATTCAAAAGATGTCTGTTAGGTCCATTTGATGTATGGTATCATTTAATTCAGACGTCTCTCTGTTTATTCTTTGTCCAGTTGACCTGTCTAATGGAGACAGTGGGGTATTGAAGTTCCCTACTATTACTGAATTGGGGTTAATCTGTATTTTAAAGTCCTGTAGTATTGTTTTTATTAATTTGGGTGCACCAGAGTTTGGTGCATATATGTCAAGGATTATAATATCTTCTTGGTTAATTGTTCCTTTGAGCAGAATGAAGTGACTCTCCTTATCTCTTCTGATTAGTTTTACTTTGAAGTCCATTTTGTCAGATATTAGAATTGCAACCCCTGCTTGTTTCTTAGTGCCATTTGCTTGGAATATTCTTTTCCATCTTTTTACCTTGTCCTAGTTTTTCTTCATTGCTGTGACAAAATACTCTGAACAATACCAACTTGGGGAGGAAAGGGTTTATTAGTCTTACATCTCCCAGGTCGCAGTTCATCAGGGAGCCCAAGGTAGGAACTCAGGGCAGGAACTTGGAGGCAGGAGCTGGAGCACAGGCCATGGAGGAACGCTGGTTACTGGCTTGTTCCCTTGGCCCCTGCTCAGCCTGATTTCTTATGCAACACAGGCCCACCTGCCCAGGGGTGGCACCACCCACAGTGTGCTGGGCCCTCCCACATCACTCATCAAGAAGATGCCCTTCAGACATGGCCACAGGCCAGTCCAATAGAGGCAATTTCCCAATTGAGGTTCCCTCAACCCAGGTGTGTCAAGTTGACACTAAAGCTATCCAGCACATACCTTAAGGTAGTGCCTGTCCTTGAAGCTGAGATGGGCTTCTTTCAGATAGCAAAAAGATGGATTTTGTTTCTTAATCCATTCACTTAGCCTGTGTCTTTTGACTGGGGAGTTCAGTCCATTGATATTTAAGGTTATTATTGAAAGATGTGTATTGGTTGCCATCATTTTGATTGCTGTTTGTGTTCTCTGTCTAATTTTGTATTTCCTCAATTATACCTTTATTTTCTTTCATTGCCCCAGGATATAGTTATTTCTCTACTCTCTGTATTCAAGTATTCTTTGAAGGGCTGGTTTTGTGGACATGTATTCTTTCAGGATATTAGTGTCGTGGAAGATTTTTCTTTCCCCCTCAACTATAATAGGCATTTTTTGCTGGGTAAAGTATTCTGGGCTGGCATTTATTGTCATGTAGAACTGGAAATATCTTGGTCCAGGCTCTTCTGGCTTTCATAGTTTGTGTTGATAAGTCAGGTGTAATTCTGATGGGCT